GCCCCTAGGGCAGGGCAATGACGTTTCAGCAGCTACTGAGTTGATTTGATCCTCCGTGCAGTGGGGTAGGGACTTGCTTAAGCCACACAGGCAGGAAGTGTTGGGGCCAGAGCCCAAGCCGGGTCTCACATGGGGCACCGTTCCCACCGCCTCAGCTATGAGAGTCCTTGGGGGTAGTCTTGCCCCCCGCCACTGCCCCCTCCTCCCATCACTCCTTTTGTTGTAGATGAAGGAGGAGCGCTTCAAGCAACTGTTCGCCGCCTTTGGCACGCTGACAGACTGCAGCCTGAAGTTCACCAAGGACGGCAAGTTCCGGAAGTTTGGCTTCATCGGCTTCAAGTCCGAGGCAGAGGCTCAGACGGCTCTGAACCATTTCAACAAGAGTTTCGTCGACACGTCCCGCATCACGGTGCGTTAGCCCCGGCCCCCCTCCACCCCCCCACCCCTCGGGCCTGCCCGTCCACCGGACACTGCACGGCCCACGTGGCTCCAGGAGACTCATTTTCCCCACGGTGACTTCTTGGTCACCAGCGGCACCTAGAGAACACCTGGCCACAGAGAGGGGAGGGTTGAGATACTGAGGAGGGGCGGCGCAGGATAGGGGAGTGGGGAGAGCCACATATAGGGCAGCTTTAAGAGTGTACTGTTAACTTCAGCTTGTGAGGTGGCCTGTGGAAATATATACAGTGTATTTATTTTAAACACCCCCCCCCCCCAAATATCCCTCCAGATTCCTGATCCCTTAAAATCTCAACAGTGGTCCGAGTGGCCTTAAGAAAGAGTAAGAGTAAGACTGAAGTGGATTTGGAGTCTTTAGGGACATACAAGTCCTGGACCCCATTCCCCAGAGATCCTGGTTGGTGGAGGTGCAGGGTGCAGCGCCGGGGGCTGGAGGGTGCTTGTCCAACAAGCTGCCGGGTGTTCCAGGAGCACGATTGGAGACAGGCTGGTCTATAGCATTCATCTGACTCCGCCCCCGCTTCTCTGTGCGGCATTGGGAAGTCCAAGCATGGTGGCTGCCGGCCTACATGGCCCCCCTGTGGGTGCAGTGTTGGGGAACACACAGGAGGTCCCCAGCTTAGCCTGGGAGAGAGGCGGAGGGGCTGGGGAGGGCTGGGCAGGAGGAGTTTCTGGAGGAGGAGAACTCTGGTTAAGGTTGAGAAGTCGTTAGCTAATTAGCCAATTGAATATATGCCACACGGAGACCCCCCAGCTTGCAGTCGCTGCAGTGCCAGCCCATGCTGGGCACTGGAATCAGAGTGACCGCACCTCACCCCCCCCTTTCTCCCATGTAGGTGGAATTCTGCAAGTCGTTCGGGGACCCGACAAAGCCCCGAGCCTGGAGCAGACATGCCCAGAAGCCCAGCCTACCTGAGCCTCCTTCCAAAGACCCCGTCGCCTCAGAAACAAAGCAAGTATGTCCGAGGTCACCCCAGCCTGTTGTCATCCGCAGGGTGGGCACTACCCTGGGGGGTAATGAAGCAGGAACCTTGAGGGAACCCCTTCTGATGGTTCCGGGAGGAGGCAGCCCCATCTCTCACCTCCCTCCCCGTGTGGCCCTCACAGCCTGCTTCTCTCTGCAGGACGATGGGAAGAAAAAGGTCGCCTGTGAGCTGGAGAAGGTGAGTGCCTTGGTGACCAGGAAGCAGTCCCACAGTGCCCCTGCCTCTTGCCCGCCCCCCTATTGTCCCATGGTTCCCTGAGCCTCCCAGACAAGAAGACCCTCCCCCTCTGCCTCTGCCTTCCTCAGAGCCTCCTCTTCTGACCTTCCCCACTCCCTTCCCACCAGTTGAAGGAAGACAGCGAGTTCCAGGAGTTCCTGTCGGCCCACCAGAGACGGTCGCAGACCGCCACCTGGGCCAACGACGCCCTGCCCACCCAGCCTGAGAAAGCGAGGGGCAAGCCTGCTGGCGACTACCTGAACTTCGACTCGGACTCGAGCCAGGAGAGCGAGGAGGAGGGGCCCGGCGAGGGCCAGGAAGGTGAGCGCAGTCTCCGAGCCGGGCCACCAGATGAGGGCCCTCGGTGGCAGATGCTGGGGCACAAGGACCTCATCACTGCCTCAGCTGGTCTTTGCACCTCGTCTGTTCACTCTTTCACTCATTCATGAGCCTGCCCGTGTGGAGTGAGAGCTGGCTGGCTGGCTGCGGCTGGCTGGCTGGCTGGCTGGCAGGTATGTGAGCAGTGCGGGCACAGTTGCTGGGGGAAAGACCAGACTGCCATGCTCCCCACGAAGCTGTCACCCGGCGGGGCGGTGTCAGCGGCAAATGGGAAGTCAGTGACACAGGCCATTCTGTCACGACAGTGGCAGGACACCAGGAGAGCTGCCAGGCAAGCCCCTGGGCCCACTGCTCTAGGGGACG